TTCCCCACCCCGGACATCCCTAAAACTACTATAGGAATCCTCCGGCCACACGCATCCGCCTTAACAGCATCCAGGCTCCTAGAGCCCGACGGGCGGAGCTAGGACCTGCCCCGGGACCTTGTTCCATTCCCTTCCTTGCAAGTCTCCCCTCTGGCTCGGGAATCCTGGAAGACACCTGATCCCCAACTAGGAGGATCCCCCGACACCATCCTGGTGTCCAACTGTCCCCCGACGGCGCTGTCCGGCAATCCTGCGGAACTCCCCACAAGAACGGCACCACATTTCAAGCACAACCCGCTTCTCCCTCCCTAAAACTCAACGGATTGCCCCCAGCTGTTATTTGACAGCTGGGTGGAGCCAGCATCTGACCGTTGCCCCGCCCCCAAACTGGCAACGGCTCCCTACCGCCAGCTTAGGGAGGCGTGGGAGAGGCTTCTAAGGATAGCCACTTTGCAGGGTCGGTGCCCAGACCGAGCCCTAATCCTGAACATCTTTCCTCAGGCAAGGTTTCCGGGATCTTCTCAACCACTCCTTAACGCCCTCACCCCCAACGTGTTCACTGAAAGACTGATCATAGCTTCCCCCCATGTACAGGGCCAGTGCAGTACCAGGCTGACTCCTACGTCTTAATGACTTGGCCAGTTCCCTCAGCACTAACTGGGGGCTGGTACATTGGTCTTCTGGTGGAAACAGCTTAGCCAGAGCTGAACCTGGCTGCTGGATGCAGGCTGCCATTCTTGGGGTGCCTGGCCCAGGTGCCGGGTAAAGGGCGTAAGCTTGACATTCAGGCCTCTGCTGGAGTGACAGAGAAAGAAGGGGGCAGTGCTGGAGACTACAAACTGCTTGCTGTGCTCCCCAGCCATCTTCAGAGCAAGCTGCACCTCCTAGCCACCACTGAAACACCACAAACCTAGCCAGGTATGGGAGCTGAATGCCTAGGGGATAGCCTTCACAAAGGCAAGAAGCCTGAGGTCACATCCCCACTCTGCCTCTCCCCGAAGTGTGACCTCAACCAACAACTATCCTCTCTCTGTCCACTATCCACCATCAAATCTCCTCCTTCTCCAAAGAGGAGAGGGGGCTTTGATAGCCCCCCTCTTCCCTTTGCAGACCCTCAAGTGCCCTTCACTGGTAAGGAGGCTTGTGGATGGGTCCAGCAAAGCCCAGAGTACAGAACTAGGTACGACCCTGGAAACTCCAGGTAGGAGAAACAGAGATGAAAGCCTCAGCCCCAGGCAGCCCCTTGACAATTCCCTTGTTCAGGCACCTTCTCCATTCCTCAGAGCCCACCGTCTCTTCACTGCAGAGTTTTCTGCTTTGAGGTTCAGTAAAGTCTCCCACAAAGTCAGGCTTTGTAAGGCTGGGTCCTTCACCTTTCCACTGCCTCCACGGTGTCCAGCCCCAGGCTCCTTCACCAAAATATTACTTCTGGATTTCCCAAGCCATCCTACACTGGAGAGACCACCGAACACGGTGTGCATAAGTCTAGCTCTGCTGCTTTGTGGCTGTGGCAAAGCAGAGGACCCCCAGTTTCCTCATCCATAAAACAGGAACACAACAATCCTCAGCTCCACAGAATTGTTTTCAGGTGTGAGATGAAACCCTGATACACAGCAAGCACTCATTTACGGGAGGGGTTATCGATGCTGCTGGACACAGTAGGCACCATTGAAAATCTAGAATGCAGACTCTGATCCGCACTGTCCAATTGGATCACCACTAACCTTGTACTAGCTGCATTTCAAGTGCTCAGCAGCCATATGTGGCCACTGGTGACCCTGTAGGACAGGTACCGTTGTCTAGAGAGATTTCCATCATCTCAGAAAGTTCCACCAGACAGTGCCGCGCTAGATAAAAGGTATCATTAACAGAAAGGATTCTGGAGCCTACGCTTCCTGGGCTTTCAAATCCCAGCTCCACATGCTTTCAGCGGTGTGACTTCAGGCATGTTAATTAAACTCTCTGTGCCTCAGTTTCCAAATCTGTAAAATGGGGATAATAACACCTGCCTTTAAAGGATTGTTGTGAGGATGTAAATGAGTCCATATTTGTAAAGTGCTTAGGACAGGATCTGGCTCCTAGTAAAGAGCTCAATAAGCCTATGTTAAAATCACTGTCAGGCAGGGCAGGCAGGAACTGGATCTAGAAGGAGCCCTGGCCCAGCCCCTGATTA